TCATGCCCGGCTAATTTTTTTATTTATTGTAGAGATGAGGTCTCACCAAGTTGCCCAGGCGGGTCTCAAAAATTTATTGTAGAGATGAGGTTTCGTTGCCCAGGTGGGTCTCAAACCCGCAGACTCAAGCAATCCACTCACCTCAGTCTCCCAAAGGCGCGGGATTACAGGCTGAGCCACCGAGGCCGGCTTGTGTGTATAGGCTTAACCCATGTTTACAGCTGGGCATGGTGGCTCAAGCCTATAATTCTAGCAGTTTGGGAGATTGAGGCAGGAGGATTGGTTAAGGCCAAGAGTTTGAGACTAACCTGTACAACATAGTAAGACTGGTCCCACAAAGTATGAATCTCTACAAAAAATTAAAAAATGAGCCGGGTGTGGTGGTACACACCTGTAGTCCCAGCTACTCAGAAGTCTGAGGTTGTGGGGATCACTTGGGCCCAGGAGTTTGAGGCTGCAGTGAGCTCTGACTACACCACTACACTCCACCCTGGGCAATAGAGTGAGACCCTGCCTCTTAAAATAATAACAAGAATAAGGCCGGGTGCCGGGTGACTCATTCCTGTAATCCCAGCACTTTGGGAGGCCAAGGTGAGAGGATTGCCTGAGCCCACAGGTTTGAGACCAGCCCGGGCAACTTGGTGAGCCGTCATCTCTACAATAAATAAAAAAATTAGGCAGGCGTGGTGGTGCACGCCTGTAGTTCCAGCTACTTGGAAGAAGGCTGAGGTGGAAGGATTGCCTGAGCCCAGCAAGTCGAGGCTGTGGTGGCCATGAGCATGCCATTGCGCTCCAGCCTGGGCAACAGAGTAAGACTCCAACTAAAAATAAAATAAGAAGAAGAAGAAGAAGAAGCCTATGCATACACACCTCCCTATAAATATTTCTGCACAAAATCACTATATCTTTACTAAGCGAAACACAAGTCCTTGACATCTCCAACTTGAATCAAGGCCTACATGGGTCATCAGCCTCCTCCCTGTTTATTTGTGACTTCCTACTCCGACATACAAAACCTGGTTCCCACCATCTGCCATTTACTTAATTGCTCACAGACTTTTTTTTTTAAATTGTAAATGTTAGTACGATCACTGCTATTACCTTTTTTTTCTTCTCGAGTCAGGGTCTCACTGTATGGGCCAGGTTGGAGTGCAGCAGCACCATCACGGTTCACCACGGTCTCGACCTCTTGGACTCAGGTAATCCTTCCGCCTCAGCCTCTCAAGTAGTCACCACACCTGGATAATTTATTTATTTTTTTTTTTAGAGAGACGAGGTCTCATTACGTTGCCCAGGCTAGTCTCAAACTCCTGGGCTCAAGTGATTCTCCTGCCTTGGTCTCCCAAAGTGCTGTGATTATGGGCGTGAGCCACCACACTCAGCCTTAGCCTTTGGGATGCTCTAATTGTCCCAAATCTGGCAAGTGGGATCCCTTTCACCTGTGCCCTTTCCCACAGCACTATCAGTCTTTGAGCACCTCACTACTTTCTAGCACAAGAAGATATTCTAGAAATCAACCATGTCTTCAAAATTCCTAATTCCCTCCCCTCAATTCATTTTCCTAGGAAAGTGGTTGCGTTTAGATTAACAAGATTTGGGTGCCTGGTTTGCTAATTGCTACGGAATTTTTGTTTGTTTGTTTTGAGTTGAAGTCTCATTTTGTCACCCAGGCTGGAGTGCAGTGGCATAGCCACCGCAGCCTCATCCTGCTAGGCTCAGGCAATCCTTCCACCTGAGCCACTGTCTAGCTTTATTTATTGTAGAGATGAGGTCTCGCCAGGTAGCTGGGACTACAGGTGGGTGCCACCGTGCTTGGCTAATTTTTTGATTTATTCTAGAGACGAGGTCTCCAGGTGTTGCCCAAGCTGGTCTTGAACCTCTGGGCTCAGACAATCCTGTCACCTCCGCCTACCAAAGTGCTGGGATTACAGGCGTGAGCCACCGTGCTGGCCGCTATTGGGTTCTTATTGTTTCTAGGCTCCTTCGTTGGGCAGAGCTCACTATATCTATATAACTTTTTTTTTTTTGAGTAGGAGTCTCACTCTGTTGCCCAGGTTAGAGTGCAGTGGCATGCTCACAGCCACCGCAACCTCGACCTGCGGGGCTCAGGCGATCCTTCTGCCTCAGCCTTCCAAGTAGCTGGAACTACAGGTGTGCGCCACCACGCCCGGCTAGTTTTTTGATTTATTGAAGAGATGAGGTCTCACCAAGTTGCCCAAGCTGGTCTCCAACCCATGGGCTCAGGCAATCCTCTCACCTCGGCCTCCCAAAGTGCTGGGATTATAGGAGTGAGCCACCACGCCTGGCCTATCTATATAACTTTCTTAGTGAATCTGCAATTCAAATCCACACCCAACACTACAGGGCAGGATTATGAAATGTTTGAAAATCCACAGAGAAATGATGAACAATGGTCTCATGGGACTGAGAATAAGCCCTTGGAATACATTTTGTTCATTTTTTTTTTTTTTGAGTTGGAGTCTCACTTTGTCACTCAGACTGGAGTGCAGTGGCCGCTCCGCCCACCGCAGCCTCAACCTGCTGGGCTCCGGCGATCCTTCCGCCTCAGCCTTCCAAGTGGATGGAACTACAGGCGCGCTACCACACCCATCTAATTTTTTAAATTTATTGTAAAGATGAGGTCTTGCCAAGTTGCCCAGGCGGGTCTCGAATCCGCAGGCTCAGGCAATTCACTCACCTCAGCCTCCCAAAGCATGGGATTACAGGATGAGCCACCGAGCCCTGCCCCACCTGCTAACTTTAAAAAAAAAGTTTTTCAGAGATGAAGTCTCATTTTTTATGCTGATCTCGAATTCCTGGGCCCTAGCAATCCTCCTGCCTCAGCCTCCCAAAGTGCTGGGATTACAGGCATGAGCCACTGCACCTGGTCACCCTTTCTATTCCTCTGTGTGAGATCCTTCTTCCTTACACTTGTCACTCCCTGACTTTATATTGGTCAACTGTTTATTGCCTATATTCCACACTAGAATGTAGACCACGACTCTGATTTGTTCAAGTTCTTGACCAACATATTCCCAGCCCCTAGAACTTTGCCTGGCACTCAGAAATGGTTTCACTGCTCTTTGTGGAGTGAACTCCCACTTGCATTCTTCTCTTCCCAGTTTTTCACTCACTCTAATGAGGTTGCTCTATGTCCTTATAGATAAGCTTATGCAATGCTTAGTAATGTGTTTATTATATCTTCGTAGATTTGTGTAAAAAGATACTAGTGAGCCAGGCTCGGTGGCTCAACCTGTAATCCCGCACCTTTGGGAGGCTGAGGTGAGTGGATTGCCTGAGCCCGCGGGGTCGAGACCCGCCTCGGC